AGACTGGATGTGGCATCAGTGCCATGGGCTGGGAACCACGGCGGGGTTGGATCAAGGGTTGGACTGGATGATCTCGGAGGTCCCTTCCAACCCAGCTGATTCTGTGATTCTATGAATCAGTTTTTAAGTCCCTCATCCTGACAGTGCACAATGTACATGTCACCACAGGGTCATTAAGGCTGGAAAAGAATTCCAAGACCAACCCTGTTGTCACTGCATCTAACAACCCCCCTGGATGTGGAGATGCCGTGCCCACGACACAGGGATGGAACACAACCACCAAAATTCGGATTTAATTGTCCTAAACCTGCTCCCACAGTTGCCTGACCAGGCTCTGATGAGCCAAAAAAAAGCCACGTTGTGGCACAGGATCAGCCAGGCCAGTTCCAAATCCACCCAGAGCTGCTGCAGCTCTGGAAGGTGAGGATATAAACACGGTGGGGTTGTTGTTATCCTGGTGGATTGGGAAGAAGGTAAAACCAAGGAGCTAAGGGCTGTACTAATTGGCTTAAGGGTGTGGTTTACTCTCCACTAAAGAATCCAAGTTTCTAGATCTTTAGGAAGAAAAATAATCGTTCTTTCTACCAGCAGGTGCTGCCCATCCCCAGCCAGGATCTGAGACTAAACTGAGCCCTGCTCTGAGCCAGAACAACCCTTCTGGGAATGGATCCATCCCAGTGGCTCCATCCCCTCCTGTCCCTCAGCCTTCCCCTCCATGCACAGCCTTTCCAGGGCACCACAAGAGGGAGCAGCCAGTCACTCCAAGCCTGAGAGATGCACAGATTCCCTCGGGACAGATCTTTAGGACACACAGTTGTCACTCTCATGCATTAAATCCCAAGTGAGGACCTTGTGCTTCCCCCTGCTACAAGCCTGTCTCCCTAAAGCTTCATTTTCCTCTTCCAGCAGCCCTGAGCACGTATTCCTTGCTCCAGGAGGAGCCAGGAAATTGTGCTGATCCGTTTTCCCAGCCCTATGAGAACAGTGATCCCGGGAATGATCCTCCATGGGGAGAAGGCAGAGCCAGCACAGCCCCACGAGCAGGGGCTGGGACAGCAGAGCTGGCACCTTGCTGGATCAGGGAACACCTTCCCAGGGAAAAAGAATTGGGAAAAAGAGGAGCAGCCCCATATTTACTGCCTGAAAGGACGTCGGGGAACTTATTTTAAGCCTTTAAGGTCACCGTGACATTTTTCCACAGGAGCAGAGAAGAGAACAACCTGCAGGTGGAGGAGGGGAAGGAAGAGGGAAATGAGAGCTCACATCCAAAGTCCTTTCCCAACTCTCAGCTCTGGCCTTTGGAGCAGCCAGGGGAGGTCAGCTGAGGTTAAAGTTTGTGCTGCACTTGAAGCACAAAAGGCCCAGGCTCTGGCTGGGTGTGAGCACAGCCCAGCAGGGCTGGGACTGAGGCTTCAAGTGAGCCCAGCAGCTGATGGTGAACGAGCCACACTCCAGTTTAAATCAGTCCCAGCCTAATGGGACAGGAGGGGCAGATCCCAGCCAGCCTTGGTGCTTTCCATGGCTGGAGCTGCAATCCCAGAGCTTGGCAGTGCCTTCAGCAGCTCAGCTGTGAGCAGAGGCAGCAGGACTTTCCTCTCCTGCTGCTCCTGCCACGAGATTAAATCACAGGAAGGTGCTATGACCTTTAACTACTTCCTCTCAGCAGCCCAGGCCAAGTGGCACATTCTTATTCCGTGGCTATGTTGGGACAGGGGCTGGGAAAGCAGGATGCTTTAGGAGCCCTCAGTGTAAACTATTAGCTGGGAAATCCTGCTGCTTTTGTTACTCAACATGTCATAATATCCTCTGGCTCTGGCAGGGGCTGGCAGCTGTGAGGGAGGAGTTCCCTCCTCCTCGGGAGACAGAGGATCCAGCCCTGGCTTGGTCCTCTGGGAGGAACATCCCCAGCACTGCCCAAGTGCCCACACGTCCCCTGCTCACCCCAACCCCCCTCCAGCCCCACCAAGGGCTCTTTAACTCTAAAATCCATCCCTTTAACTCTACAATCCATCACTTAACTCTACAATCCATCCCTTTAACTCCACAATCCATCCCTTTAACTCTACAATCCATCACTTAACTCTACAATCCATCCCTTTAACTCCACAATCCATCCCTTTAACTCTACAATCCATCACTTAACTCTACAATCCATCACTTAACTCCACAATCCATCGATTTAACTCCACAACCCACCAGTTCAACCTGGGAATGCTCCTTGTCCCAGCCCTCAGGGAACACCAAAGCAAATCCCTTCCAACTTTCCTCGAGGAAAGAGGGGAAAGACACACAAATATCATTTTTACCTTTCCCTCCCCAGTATAGTTTTGCCTTCCCACAAGTGTTGTTTCCTGATTTAATATCTCCACTAGAGTTCTGTGTAACAGGACAAGGACTTCAGTGATCCTTGTTTGTCCCTTCCAGCTCAGGATATTCTGTGATTCTGTGGATAAATCCATGCTGGGCAGAGATGTGACATCTGTTTATCTGTTTATCACTTGCAGACCTGTCCTAGGATAGGTCTGGAGGCTTCAGGTGCTTCTAGATCAAGCCAAGCAGCCACCCCAGAGGAGCTGAGGGGTTTGCCACGACCAGCCACTGCAGCTCACCCTGTTTGCACTCCAGTTCTGGAGCATATTTACTCCAAAAGATCCCTTTTATCCCGATCACAAGACTCAGCACTGGTTGTTCCAGGCTTCAGGGGGAGCAATGCCTGCCCTTGCAGCGTGACTGAGCAGACTGCAGCACTCCCTGAAGGTGTCCCTTGTCCTTGCAGGAGGGGACGGGGCAGTTCTGGGCTCACATCAAGGTGCCAGCCCCGTGATGTGCCCATTCCTGCAGGGAGCCTGTGCCACCAGAGGGAACAGGGCTGGAGACAACCCTAAACCAGACCAGGGCTGGAGACAACCCTAAACCAGACCATTCAGGAGCCCAGAGCATCCCTAGAAATATGAACCACCAGGTTATGGCGGAATAAGGTGACAGAGGATCAGGTTTGCTGGTTCCCTTTAGCTTTTCCTGGTTTTTCCTGGGAAGGCAGAGGGCAAGGACTCATTTTCCAAGTGCCATATAAACCCAAGGGAGGGGGTGGCTGCAGTCTGGAGAAGGGAATGAAGTTGCAGTGGGTCGAGAAGGGTTGGATGGAGCTCTGAGCAACCTGGTCCAGAGGAAGGTGTCTCTGCCCATGGCAGGGGGTGGAAGGAGATGAGCTTTGAGGTCCCTTCCAACCCAAACCATTCCAGGATTCTGTGTTTCTACCCCATGAAGCGCTCAGTATTGCAGGGATGCTGAATGAATGGATCTGGTTTGGGATTTAAAAGCCCTGCTCACCATCACACTGCCCTCCCACCCAAAGAATTAACACTTAAACGAGCTCCAGGCTTTGAAGTAACCAATGTCCAGTTAATTTTATTCTCTGGAGATGTTTATAAGTGTGTTTACCAAAACAGAGAAGCAGAAGAAGGCTGGCAAAACTTGCCAAGGATTTGAAGAGGCAGAGAGCAGGGCTGGGCTGAGCTGCACTGGGACTGTAGGAGTTCAGTCAGCTCGGCCCTGCTCTTTTCACCCCATTCCTGTATTTTTGCCCCACGTACCTGTTTGAGAACTGGTTTGGGAGCTGCACGACCTCTGTGATGGCCTCAGGGTTCCGTTTGGCGATGCCACACATGTCCAGCTTGCTGTAACACTCCTCCTGCACCTCGGAGATCATCCTCTGGAACGTGGAGCACCTGCGGATGGCCAGGAACACCTTGGACGTCACCCCGTTGGCAATGCACTTCAGGCTTTCCTTCACAAAAGCTTTTCCCTGCAAGCACAGGAGAAAAAGGGGATTTTTTTCCCAGGGGTTTCCAGGGAATCCAACAGAAAGGGAAGTACTGCAGGTGCTCCACCGTGCCTGGCTGCTGTTAATGACCCTCCCTGCAATTAGAGACCTGCTGGAGGTCCCTTCCCAGGACTCTGATCCTCACAATTACTGCAGAGACATCACCCACAGCAGTCGGGATGCACACAGCCCACAGCTCCTGTTCCCAAAGGATTGAGGCAATGGGAGCCTTTGCATGAACAGACCTGGAAGTGCCAGGACCAGAGATGGGCCAATTCTGCTCCCCCTCCGGGAGGGGGTCGGATTGATTTAACCATCAATTTGATGCCAGAGGTTTAACACCCCTGGTTCACCACGACTCAAGATGCTTGAAGTGCTCTGAAGCTTGTCCTTGGGAGCAGGAGCACAGGGAACTCGGGGCTGGTGTGCATGTTAGGAGGGAAACTCCGAGGAAAACTCCAAGGAAAAGTGCCCTTGGCAGAGCTGCAGCCCTCCAATATTATCCCATTTATCCCGCCTGCAGCTCTGGAGAGGCTGAGCTGGCCCTGTATTCCCAGCCCCAAAGTCTTCCAACCCAAACCCCAGCCCCGTGCCAGGTCACACAGTCAGAAGACTTATTTTGTTAGAAGGACGTTTCTATTTCCTCCTGGAGAGGAAACTTCTCCCTCCAGCCCAGCGAGCCCTCCTTGCCAAGTCCTCACACGGAGCAGGGAATGTGTGGAAACTGCCCCGGAGAAAACAGCCCCCAAGGATGTGTTTGTGGAGCCAAAATCCCGTGGCTGAGAGGAGCAGGAAGGGCTGCAGGACAGGAAGGGTTAAGCCTGCCCAAAGCCCAGCTCTAGAAGGAGGAGTTAAAGCCTCTGTTCAGCTCAGCACATGCTCCAGTGCTGCAGGACTTGTAAAAGCCCTTTATTGAGCGCATGGAAAGGTTTTATCCCAAGGGTTTATCCCAGAGAAAACAGCCCCCAAGGATGTGTCTGTGGAGCCAAAATCCCGTGGCTGAGAGGAGCAGGAAGGGCTGCAAGACAGGGAGGGTTAAGCCTGCCCAAAGCCCAGCTCTAGAAGGAGGAGTTAAAGCCTCCTTTCAGTTCAGCTCTGGTGCCACAGGACTTGGAAAGCCCTTTACTGAGCGCATGGAAAGGTTTTCTCCCGAGGGTTTATCCCAGAGAAAACAGCCCCCAAGGAGCTGTGTCTGTGGAGGGCTGTGGCTGTGTCTGTGAAGGGCTGCAAGACAGGGAGGGTTAAGCCTGCCCAAAGCCCAGCTTTGGAGGAGTTAAACCCTCCGTTCAGTTCAGCACGTGCTCCACTGCCCCATAAAAGCCCTTTATTGAGCCGGGGCATGGAAAGGTTTTATCCCGAGGGTTTATCCCGGTCCCCTCCGTGCTGGGGCCGTACCTGAGTGTCGAATTTAGCGGCGCTGTAGAGGAAGGACTTGCAGATGTCGTACATCCCGTCCGTGTCACACGTGGAGTTCTCCAGGCAGGCGAAGGCCCCGCAGCCCACCTGGAGGGCCCCGTTGAGGCACCGAACCACCTCTGCTGCAGGGAGAGCCACGGGAGCATCAGCACATGGACACGGCTCCCCAGGACCACAGAACCCTCCCCCAGGACCACAGAACCCTCCCCCAGAGCCAGGGGGAGCCGTGCTGGGCTGCAGAGAAGCAGCTCCTGGGGGCTGGGGGGAGAGGGGATGAGGAGAAACCAAAGGGAAGGTGCTCCAAGGGCTGGAGGTCCTCCACTCCAGGGACAGGCTGGGAGTGTCCAACTGGAAAAGGGAAGGCTCCAGGGAGACCTTTGAGCCCCTTCCAGTGTTTAAAAGGGGGTTATGGAAAGAGGGAGAGTGACTTTTTATAAGGGCACACAGGGATAGGAGAAGGGGGAAGGGTTTTAAGATAAAAGAGAGGAAAATTAGGGCAGATATTGGGAAGAAATTCTTTGCTCAGATGGGGGGGAGGTTGCCTGGAGAAGCTGTGGCTGTGCCAGCCCTGGGAGTGTCCAAGGCCAGCTTGGAGCAACCTGGGCTAGTGGAAGGTGTCCCTGCCCATGGCAGGGGTTGGAACTGGATGAGCTTTAGGGTCCCTTCCAACTCAAACCACTCCAGGATTCCATGAACTGAAGGTGTGACCCAGCGAACCGAGGAACAGAAAATGCAACTCCCAACACCTTCACACATGGATTAAAAGAGGGAAAACACCTGAGAGTCCTTGGCTAGATAGATCCATCCCAAACAAATCCTGATTCCAGGCACTCCCAGCTTCATTCCAACTCCCTCTGGAGAAGGAGCAGCACTGAGGAAGAGCCCAGGAAGAGCACCAGGTGCTCAGATCCTCTCCAGGAGCTCAGTTCCCAAACCCATGGCTTTGTGAAAACAGGACTGAAGTGATGGTGATTGCCAAGGAGATGCCACGAAATTTGCACTCCTTGGGATGTATCTGTGCTTCCCTAAGAAGCCTGAAGCACCAAGAAATCAGATTTTAGCCCGTGAGTCCATTATTAGCACTAAAAAGGACTTGGTGCTAAACCCTGACCTGGTGGTTTGCAAGCACAGCCAAGAAAGGTCATTTTTTGCTGAAGATTTCGTGGGGAGAAGGGACATTTGGGCAGAGAAGGTTGAGGTGAACGGAGCTGACCATGTATAATTAAAATCCTGCAGGCAGTAGTTAGGCTGAGCAGGAGGGTATCCATGTCATCCCAGCTTTTCCCGTGCAGATCCCGTGCCTTTTAACAATGAATCAGCACTATTGCCACATGATTGCCCTGAAATTAGGAGGGATTAACCTTTTTTGGGGAGATGAACATCTGTCCCCTTATGTGTCTGGGCAAGGCATATTCATGACTTTTGCAGCTCGTCTTACCAGACATTCTTTTAGGAAGAAATGCAGAGCCATGGAGCTGTGAGGTGTGGGAAAAGTGAGGGTTTGGTGGAAGAGAACACACCTTATTAAGAGCTGAGTTGCAGCCTAAAGATGATTCTTTACAACTGGGATTTTTTTTTACAGAAAATAGGGAGAAATAATATTAAATAATAATAATTAGAAAAAAAAAAACCCAAACAGTTAACCCCTCCTCATTCTTGCTTACGTGCCTGAAGGGAGAAATATTTGGTCAGCTCATCCTCTCCCCGGTTCAGAACCTCCCCAGGGCACGAGTCACCCCCCCAATTCTGCTTCCACAGGTTCAGATTCTAACTTTGCTCTGCAGCAGACTTAGGGAGGAATTAAGCTTTTATTGTTTTAGGCACGGTGCAAGAGTGAGACCCCATGTTTCTATAGCAACCAAATACAAAAGGAACTCGAGCAAACACCCTGCTCTAATGCTGCAGAGCCTTGCAGATCTAAAATAAGGCAGCTGTTAATGAGCTCTGAATTAGAGCCTTAATATCTTTCCAGTACAGTAGAAGAGAGATTTTTAATTCCCATTGTTCGAGACAATGTCTCCAACTTATCTAAAGCATCAAAGTGGAGACAACCAGAGCTGACTTGCCAGCGATTTTTTTTTTTTTTGCCTCCATTGTAAAAGCAAGTTTGTTAAATGTCACAATCGTATTTTTATCGTCCCGGCTCGCTGATAGCAATCAGTTTTGGGGAAATAAAGGCGAGCAGGGGACAGTTTCTAGGTTACTGCATTCTCCAAAGTCGCAGCTCAACCTCTCTCTCCTCCTCTTGGAATGGGCAGATGTTTGGCAGAACAATGGTTCAGGCCAATTTCCACGGATTTTTATCAACTTCCTAAAAAGCCAGGGGTTTAACACCAAAGTAGGGCTGCGACTGGAGAGGGGAGGGAGGTACATGCAAGCAGGGTAAATAATAATAATAACAATAATATTAATAATAATAATAATCAAAAGTACGTGGAACTCATTTAGGAGCTGGGGGAGGAGGAGAGAGGCTGGATTTTTGCATCCTCACACACCGGCTCCCTGCCCCAGCTCCTGAAGGAGATTCCTTCTCCAGCTCTGCACCAACACCCTCCTGGCAGACCCTCACGTTAATATTTGTGCCTTAACCAGCCGTTAAGTTTATAAGGGAGGGAAAAAAAAGGGGGGGGAAAGGGGGAAAAAAAAGGGAGGGGAAAAAAGGGGGGAAAAAAGGGGTGGAAAAAGGTGGGGGGAAAAGGGTGGGAGGGAAAGAGGGGAAAAAAAGGGGGGAAAAAGGGAAGGAAAAAGGGGAAAAAAAGGGGGAAAAGAAAAAAGGGGGGGAAAGGAAAAGATAAAAAAGGAAAAAGAAGAAGGAAAGGAAAAAGAAGAAGGAAAGGAAAAAGAAAGAGAGGAAAAAGAAGGGAGGGAAAGGAAAAAGAAGGAAAAAGGAGAAAAAAGGAAAAAGGAGAAAAAAGGAGAAAAAAGGGAAAAGAAGGAAAAAAGGAAAAGAAGGAAAAAGGGAAAAGAAGGGAAAAGGGAAAAGAAGGGAAAAGGGAAAAGGGAGAAAAGGAAAAAAAAGGAAAAAAAAAGGAAAAAAGCATAAAAATCAGCAGCAGAGCAATGTGAGACAGTTTAAGACATGAGGGCTCAGCTCCAAGCCCTCCTTGCTGGGTGTTACCTGAGTTCTGGGCTGCCACCCTGGGCTTCCTGGGGCTCACAGAGTCATTCTGCTCGGCTTCGTAGGATGCGGACGCACTGATCGCCAGCAGCAGGAGAAAACCAGACTTTAGGAGCATTCTCTGACAAGTTTCCGCTAAGTGTGGGGGGTTTTTTTGGGTGGGTTTTTTTTTTTTTTGGTGGCTCTGTGTGTGTGTGTCTCCTCTCCCACTCCGGCTCGAGCGAAGATGTGGATCTGGATACGCGCTCCCAAGCGAGAGAGAGACACAGGGAGAGAGGGGAGAGGCGGCGGAGCTCGGGGATGTTCGGGATGCGCTGGATGTGCCGCAGGATCCGGGTGGCCCCTCTGGCTCCTGCTCGTCGGGGGACCAGGAGCAGCCCAGGGCTTTTATAGCCGCCCTTATCGGTCCCCCCCCGGGCCCCGGAGCCAATCGGCGGCGCTGGGCAGAGCCAGGGGAGGACTGGACTCATTCAAGCCCCACGAAACTGCAACTTCACAGGAAGGATGTTTTCCAGCCAATTAAAAGTACCTGCCAAAGCAACAATAACCGAAAAGTTAATCTTCTGGTGGAGGAGCGCTGGGAAAGGGAGGAGAAGTGGGGAAAGGGGAAGGGGGGGGGACTTCCTATGGATAATTGAGCTCGAGGAAATGACAGCGCGGTCCTAAATGTTCCCCCAGCCCGCAAGAAAAGCACCTGCCCCGGCGGGAGGGCTGTTTTCCCACCCGAGCAGCTTGGCAGGGATCCTTGGAAGAGGCCCCCCCCCTCCCCAAGGTGAGCGCAGGTACCGGGGTGTTCGTGCTGCTGCTGCCAGAGCACGGGTGTGCCGAGCTGAGCCCGCGGACTCACACTCTGCACCTCACGTAGGCACATGCAAATACCCCCCTCCCTGCCCAAAACCCGAGTCCTCGGGTGCTGCCTCCTTATCTCCCCCTCACCTGCAAAATTCCCTGAATAAAGCCGTGGATTCACACCTCGCTCTCGCTTTTATTCTTTTCCTGGGAAGCTCCAGAAACGATTTTTTTTAGGTGTTTGGTGCTTTCCTTTCCTCCCCCCCCCCTGCCCCCCAACCCACTCCAATCCTGGTTTTCAGATTTCATAACGGGAGGAGGCACCCTAATGCCTGATTTAATCTTCATTTTAATGGGCACATAATGAGGATTAACACAGCAGAGAACTGATTATCCTGTATCCCAGAGACAATTTAAAGCTCGCAGTGTTCGAGGGATGAAAGTACAAGCAGGGGTATTAAGCCTTGGAGCTGAAAGGAAATCGGGAAGGTGCGTGGAGGAAGATTTAGAGATAAAAAGTTACAAGTCCCTGCAGCTTAGAATGAGCCAAGAGATTTAGATATCAGGTATTGCTGATCGGGGGGGAGAGATTGGAGCTTGAGTGTGTTCGAGGCTCGCTCTGCTCTCCCCGGGATCTTTTTTGGGGAAGGAAAAAATATTCCTGCCCGGGAAAAAAGGAAAACATGAAAAAAAGGAAAAGATAAAAAAAAGGAAAAAGAGAAAGGGAAGGAAAAAGAAAAAGGGGAAAAAGAAAAAGAGGAAAAAGAAGGAGGAAGAGGAAAAAGGAGAAAAAAAAGGAAAAAGGAGAAAAAAGGGAAAAAGGAGAAAAAAAAGGAAAAAGGAGAAAAAAGGAAAAAGAAGAAAAAAGAAAAAAAGAAGAAAAACGGAAAAAGAAGGAAAAAGGGAAAAGAAGGAAGGTGCCAGGCAAGGAAACCCAGCTTGAGGAGATCCATGGATCCATCCACGGATAGAAATTCCATTTGATGAACCAATTCTACACTTCAGTAAAGTGAAGGTGCAAAACCCGCGGGAATTTATTCAGGTTTATGGGCAGCTAAATTCCAAAGTCCATAAGAATGGAAAGAGGAGCAGGAGGAGGCTCTTCATGGAGCTCCAAAAGCTGTGTCACTGCTTTACCTCACTCCTACCTCTTTTTTCTTCCCCCTGGAAAATGGGACCACTCCGGATCCCGCCCCATCCCTGTGCTCCCATCCCAGTTTGGGCAGCACAGCCCCAGTTCCCCTTGGCATCCCGGGTGTCGGCTTCCACTGGGATAGGAACAGGAGTGAGGTTGTGCTCCTGCCTTGGGGTCAAAATAACAGCTGTGCCAGATGTTCCAAGAACAGTCAGAAAGCTCTCGGAGACAGGAGGGTTTCGGGTTTCGGCTCCGCTTTGGGACACGGAGCCAAATTCATTAAACGAGAGAAAAAAAAATAATAATAATAAAAAAAAAAAGAAAGAAAAAGCAGCAGCAGCCCCGCAAAGAGTTGTGGTTTCTCCACTTAATAGATCCAGTCCAGTTTGCAAGTGAGAATAATCCCACAGGGTTTGATTGTGATTAAATCAAAAGCAACTCTGGCAGGGACTTCAATGGGGGATGAATCACGGCTCCATCCAAGGCCTATTTGGAGGGGAAACGTTGCATTTTCCACACAATTGAATTGCAAACTCCAAGCTCTGATTCCTCCACCCCTTCACCCCCAAAGGTGAACATTCCTACTTGTCTTTTTTTTAATGTTTCCAGCTGAACTGCAAAGGAGTTTGCAAAGCAAAGCAGGTTGTCCTGGCCCTCCGAGCACGTATGCATCCAGCTGGGAGTCCGAGTGCAAGGAGATACTCCAATTATTCCAGCACATTCCCTATTCTTTCCATCGTTATTCCAGGGCTGATTGGCTGGTTTTTATTTAGGAGTTGTACCTGCTGCATATTTTAATTACAAACAGCAGTAACGGGAGGTCAACCGTAAGACGAGGCCGAGTTTGGGGACATGGCACCGTGGGATAGATTCTGGATTCTGTGTCCTGGATCAGGGCACAGGCAAATAGTGGGACACCAGGAAAACTTTATTGAACCTCCAAAAAAAGCCCTGTGGAAGCAGAACTTTTATTACTGCTTTAAAACAGCGATTTTAAACTTATTTCAGGAGTGCAGGAACTCACGCTGAGCCGCTGTCAAATTTGGCAGGAGACTTGTACAAGCAAATTTCTGCCTGAGACATCAGAGTCCTTTGGTTCCAGGGTGTACTTGCATTATTTATTTTGCATCCTGAGTGAAACAAGGACTGTAAAATACCCCAGAAACTTCCATCCTGCCCTCGCTGTAGGGAGTTGGATGCCAGAGGAGTTTGGCTTCTCTCCTGTACCCGAGTTTTAAAGGGAAAAAGAAACAACCAGCACAGGGATCAGGACTGTCCAAAGATCATGGTTTGCCCATTCCAGGGTCATGCTTTTAAGACTGTTTAGGGATACAGGAATAGGCATGATGGGATAAGGTTTTCCCCCAAAAATCTTCCTTGCTCCTGATCTCAGGTGGTCGCTGGTCTGTGGCACAAGGAGCTCACCAGATGAGAAGAAAAAACCCAAACAACCCAAAAATAAAAATAAAAATAAGAAGCTTCAGTATTTGTGACTAAAAGCTCAGCATAAGCTGCTGGAAGACTTTTCCCTTCCCTTACAGGTTAAATGCTGGAGGGTTTCTTTCCTGGCCGGTTCGTGGAAAGAGAAAAAAGAAAGGCACTGTTAGCCCTGGGAGAATCATCCCCTTCTTTCCATTCCCATTCAGGAGACCCTATTAAATTGCACAGGCCAGGCTATTGTACCACTGTTAGGCTATTCCCAAGGTGTTAAGATTTTTATCCAACCTCAATAAAAAATAAAAAAAAAAATAGAGGGGGAGAAGAAAAGAAGAAAAAGAGAAAGGGGGGGACCCAAAGTCAATAACTCCCCCACCAGCCCCGCTCTGTGCTCAGCTGCTCCCTGGCTGGGAATGCTGCGAGGGCGATTGTGTAACTGGATCCCTGCCCACCTTTCAGCCCCCCTTCCCCAGCCAGGACCCCTCCATTCGCTGCGCTCCGGAGGGACGTGAGCAACTGCACCTCGGCGGGAGAGAGTTAGAAACGCTCCGCTGCCCCGGCCCGGCTGCTCCTCCCCGAAAACCACTCCCTGCTCCCTCCTGAACCTTCCCTGCTCCTCCCAGAAAACCAGCCCCTGCTCCCTCCTAAACCACCCTTCCCTGCTCCCTCCTGAACCCACCTTCCCAGCTCCTTCTTAAACTGCTCCTCCCAGCAAACCACCCTCCTCTGGTCCCCCTCCACCCTCCTCTGCTCCCTCCCGAACCTCCTCCCTTCCCTCCCACCCTCCTCTCTCCCCGCCCCTCTCCCCGGTGACACTTTGTCCCCCACGTCCACACTCACCCCGCCCTCCCCTCGTGGCTCCACAACGCTCTGGACGTGCTGAAAGGCTGGTTGGAGAATCCCCACAGGGCACGGGGGGGGGGTCATGGAATGGTTTGGGATGGAAGGGATTTTAAAGCCCGTCCAGCCCCACCCCCTGCCATGGGCAGGGGCACCTTCCATCATCCCAGGTTGCTCCAACCTGGCTTTGGACACTTCCAGGGATGGGGCAGCCACAGCTTCTCTGGGCAACCCGTGCCAGGGCCTCCCCACCTGCACAGGGAAGAATTCCTTCCCCATATCCCATTTAATCCAACTCTCAGTTTGAGTGGGAAAAGCCTGGGGGTGTAACCTGGAACCATTCATAGCTGACCTTAAAGCCCATCCAGTCCCACCCCCCATGGGCAGGGACACCTTCCACCAGCCCAGGTTGCTCCAAGGCCCGTCCAACCTGGCCTTGGACACTCCAGGAGTGGGGAATCCACACCCTCTCTGGTCTCACCCCCCCCGTCCATCGAGGGCTCGGAGCACGGCCCCTCCTCGCTGCCGACGGAAGGTGTTTTAAGCCTCCTGGGAAACATTCCACGGTTTGCCAGGGATCAAACCCGAGCTGTCTCGAGGCCTTGGCCCCCGTCCAGCCCCCGCAGGCCCCGCTGGAGCAGCTCCTCAGCAGGTGCACATTAGTTAAACCACGGCTTCCATCCCCCCTTCCCCTCCGCCATGGCTCCCGTGCGGCACCACACGCTGCCTCGGGATGCAATTCCCCCCTCCCGGAGCTGGGGAGCAGGAGCTGCCTCAATTACACTGCCAGTACAAAAAGCAGAGTAAGGGAGAGGCAAAGCAGAACCTTTTAATTTGCTTAGCCCAGCTGAATAACCCCGGCTGCACCGGGGCAGTGATGTCAGAACTTGTTCCAAAAGGCAGGATGCAATTTAAGAGTTACCCGGGTGTCTGCCCCGACAGAGCCACTTGGATCTGGCTACAGGCTCCATAAACCTGGCAACAGCAGCAACAAAAACCTGCTGAAAAATCTTATTATTAAAGGGATTTAATATCTCTGCTTCATGTGCAGAAAGTCAGGCCGGGTTTGATTGTGTCCCAGCCGCTGTGGGGGGAAGGTGCAGTTGGTTAATGCTCAGTATAAGGTGGCAACTGTCGGTTGGAAAA